AGCCACCACTCTGAGGATACTTTATTTCCTGAGAGTCTCTTGTCCCTGCTGCTCCTCCTGCAGATAATAAATAGTTGAGACAATAAATAAATGAGGGAGGAAATCTAGAAATTGGAATGTTCCCTCTATTGAAGTATCACAGAGACCAATTGGATAAGAGACTGAGGAGTAACTGCCTCACTTGTCTAGATTCTGTGCTTGGAGGCCCAGGATTGTTGTCCTACAAGGTCTGCCACTATCTGACTCTATCTGATTAATATTAGACTTCATCAAGGTAAAGTGATCCACTGGGGAGAGACTGACAAGGTCTGGGCATCATTAAGTAGTTTTTAAATTGTAAACAATAAAATGATTTTGTTATTGGTGGAAGATTGTAGCATTGATACATTTTGAAACTTGTGAGGCTTAAACAAGTCTGATACTTAAGGTTTATGGTTTTCAGTTTCAGGAATCGTTTTTCTAGTAGAGAAATGATAATACCAACTCCATAATACTGGCTGTAACAATAGGCGGGTAATGAGATCTTAAGGAATGGTGAGATTCTACCCGTTTACAAGTGTGTTACACTGGACAGAATGTGGTTCATGCCAGAAGACCTGGGACTTGGTTCCAGTCTACATGATTTGCATAAAGTACTGAAATCCTTTGAGTTAAATTCCCTAATTAGTATAATCAAGGGAAAAAGAAAAATTCCACAGCTTTTGTTAAGTAAGACACCAATTTGGAAGTATTCTGTAAGCTATAAAGTGTTAAATGATAACTGACACTGTTTTGTTTAAATAGAAAATATGAGTTAGCATGTATTTAGTATAATCTTTTAGAAAGCTTTTAGGACTTACCAAAAAGTCTTATTACCAGTAGTTTTAGAAATTTGATGATCTTAACAGGAATCTATTTTCATGTCTCTTTCAAATTTGAGTTTTTCAGATAAAAGATTTCTATTTTATCCTTGCTAAGAGCATGATCAGAATAAACAATGAGATCTTTAAAGAATGTTTTGTAAATCTATAACAAAATCACACTCCTGTATCACTGCGGAATGCCTGATTACTGAATATAACCACAGTATTGGTCTAGTGAGTATTCATGTTTAATAATTAAGATAATCACTAATTTCCAGTGCTGTTCCTCTGCTACTTCATAAGGCATGCACTATTGGTCTTTTAGTATTTCGCTCTCATTGACTTTGGATTCTAAATCATTATTTGTTGGTTATAGACCTTTACAATGCCCAGTGGCATTTGCTACTGATGACAGCAATAACAGATGATGTTGAGCCAAAGCTACTGGGAGTGAAATGCAAAAAATAAAATGATAATAAATAACTGTCACTCCATGACTAAACAGTGCCTGAAATTAGTTCTATGGCATGTTCCATATAGCAGAGTCTGCATAAGCCAAGAACCAAAAAGGCATTTAGCAGCAAACAAAAAGGAACCCAAACACATGTCTTGTTCAGTGACCAGAAATTCCTCATTAAGCATGGCATGAGTATTCAAAAAATTCTCAACAGATTCCATTTCAAAATCTTATGGTATCGGGGCACCTGGGTGGCTCAGTGGGCTAAAGCCTCTGCCTTCGGCTCAGGTCGTGATCCCAGGGTCCTGGGATCGAGCCCCTCATCGGGCTTTCTGCTCAGCCTGCTTCCTCCTCTCTCTCTCTGCCTGCTTCTCTGCTTACTTGTGATCTTCGTCTGTCAAATAAATAAATAAAATCTAAAAAAAAAAAAAAATCTTATGGTATCTTCTCAACCTGATGGTATCTGGGAAATGTGTCAAAAGACAGACAGAGCTCAATGTATGGAAACTTCGGGAATGCTGGTTAGAACACAGAGATAAAGTCTCAAATGGATATGAGACTGAACATAGAAAGATAAGCATAGAGGTCCAATGATAGAGAATATGGGGCCTGTTAGGGGTGCCAGATGCCTGAGAGAAATCATAAAACCTGTCAACATGAACATTTTGCTCAGGTGGTTTGGGCGGGGGACAGTCTGAGCTGTCCTGCCATGAGCACAGATTCTGTAGGAATAAACTCACAAATCAGGTTTTCAATAAGAGGTTGTTATTTGAATTAAATTGTCCATGCTATATAATAATTACTCTTTAAATTTTAAAAAGAAAATTTGTATCCTTCCTCCAGTTCTCAGACCACTACAGCATCCTTTCATTCCACTGGTGGTGAGTCAGGTTTATTGTGGTGGTGGTGGTGGTTTGTTTGCTTGTTAGTAAAAGATTCATTCCACTTATTCTATATTTTGAGTGAGTTGACATGTGGTAATCACCCAGGTTCTTTGTCTGAAAACATAACCCACTTACTAGACAGGTTATATAAATCTGCGCCTCAGTGATCTTATTAGTAAAACCAGGATAATGTATCAGTATATCAAAGTTAATGTGATAATTAAGTAGTTTATGTACTGTGACTATCTTTTCTTGTTTTCCCTCAAAAGCAGAGCCTAAGAATGGAAAGTAGCCAATTCTGGGATGAAATCTTGGGGAACAGAACTAGGAGCCTGGGAAGACTGAATCAGGAAAGAAAAAAACAAAAACAAAAACAAACAAACAAAAAAGAACAAATCCAAAGGTATATTATCAAATTGTTTGCTGTGGTGGGAGGTTTGCCTTGATCCCCCTGGGAATCCTTTGGAGACCTTTGCAAAATGCAAAATGGTTCATCCAGGGAAAATAAGAATATTCATCAAGGTTGCTCTGTGGAGTGTTAATGCTTCACATAGATTGTGTATGTATTAGAATATCTGATCAGCTTCCTGAGGGATTCCACACAGCCATTTCAGAGAAGCCTCAAGGCAGGAAGTGAAGAAAATCTAAACTACTTGGAATTTATGCAGGGAGATTTACTAGAGCACAGAGTGGCCAGGTTGAATATAACGTTGCTCCCAGTAGATTTGATGGTTAGGGATCTATCTTGCCAAGAGACTGTAGTGAGGTTATTGCCCAGGGGCATTGCAGATGAACTGGCCTGTCAGGGAACCGTGCACAGTGGAACACAAATCCAGAATACAGAGCAGCTCCAGGGTGATTTCTACACGGTTAGAAACAGCAGCTTCTATGAAAGATTCTTAAGATCCAGGACTATCGAGATCATCAACTTCTTAACCTACAATAGTCAGGTTGCCATTTAGCTAGCTGGCCTGTAACCTCAGCCAAGAACAAAAACACAATCAAAATAGTAGTAACAAGAAGCTTATTTTCTTAGCATGCGAATTTTAAGGTTTATAAAATACTTTCATTTGCATTATCTTGAAGTTATCAATAATGCTTGAGAAGGTATGATAATATTTTTTCTCATTTTCTTTTCTTTAAGATTTTATTTCTTTATTTGACAGACTGAGATCACAAGTAGGCAGAGAGGCAGGTGGGGGGTGGTGGGAAGCAGGCACCCTGCTGGGCAGAGAGCCTGATGTGGGGCTTGATCCCAGGACCTTGAGATCATGACCTGAGCCGAAGGCAGAAGCTTAACCCACTGAGCCACCCAGGTACCCCTATTTTTCTCATTTTCAATGAAGACATTTGAAGTTTCTAAGACTTAAGGTCTTAACCAAGGCTTTATTGTCTACATGTGATGATCCAGAATGAGAACTATGGTATGTTTATCCTAATCCCAGCATCCTACTAAGGTTACTTTTATTTTAACAAAATTTGCCCTTATCAATTACCTTTTAAGTCCTGACAGCTACCCTCCACCTCCAGTGGCTCAGCCGCAGTGAAGTGAATCACTCACTCACTTACCTGAAAGCATGAGCAAACTATGTTATTAGCAAAATTTATTTCCAACTCCATTGCCATTTGGAAAAATTTCCTTCTTAACAAAGAGGCCTACTAGATTAGAAGGAAACTTCTTTCAGATGCCGGGTGCCCCCAGACAGTTCCCAACATGAAGTGGCTTCTGGAGGGCTGGGAATTAACCCAATAACCAGCACGGAATGTAAGCTCAAGAAAACCACCATTTCTAATAAAACACAGGAGTTGTGACTAACATATATCAGTTCTAAGTAATCTGAATATTTGAACATGTGGAACTTTCTTAAATTTATCTTTTCCTATCCATCTCCAAATGTAATGTCACTGAATTTAAATAATTCATAGTAGTAATAAGTGAGGATAATTATACTATCCCTATGACAACTACAAAGAATAACTCATGATTATTGAGAACTTACTATGAGCTAAGCAGTGTGTTAAGTGCTCTACTAATTAACTGAGTTAGCCCCACAATAGTTCACACATGGAAGTACTCGCAGTATCGTCACTTTACAAATCAGGGAACCAAGTCAGAGAAAAGCTGAATGAGTTTTCCGGGTGACACAGAAAAGAAATGGCTAATTCAGATGTGTTCTAGTCTTAGCCACTATGCTGTATCACCTGACTTTCAGACCCAAGTTCTGTAGTTGGTCTGCGGTTGCATACTGTTGTTGGCTAGCAAGCCAAACTTTTACAGATTCCCAAGCACTGGGTATAAGTAAAGTGAAATACAATGCCACAGAATAATTCAGAAGTCAATTATCATTGTTGGAGGCATGTGTGTGAGTGTGTGTGTGTGTGTGTGTGTGTGTGTGTGTGTGTGTTGAGGGTAAGAGAAGGCGGCATTGCAGAAAGGAAGAAAAGTATAGGGGTAGTTTCTCAGAAATATATTTTTTCTAGAATTTAGAATTCTAGAAATCTAAAATACTTTAACTTCTTGGTTTCTCTTTTCTACTTTAAACAAATGTGTACACATTTCAATTCCATATTCCCATGACTGGTATAGAGATTAGAAGTGGTATGGAATAATTTACTACCTGACCAGAAATGGTCTCACTGTGAGTTGTCAATGTCAAGGAAGTAATTCCCCTCATGCTACAGACCATGCATTCTGGGATTCTTCCTCCTGGGCTTTGCAAAACTGGTTCCAGATCCTGGAGTCCCTCCTATGAGAGGCTGCCTGATTGACAACAAGAGGGCACAGCCTACAGCTCTCCTCCCAGGGAGCTGACTTACCCTGTCAGTTTTCCCTTCGGTCTGAATGCTGGTGTGACTGCGCACCTCATGTTCCTCTTCCAAGTCAGAAACATCTTCCAGTTCCTCTGGGGTCTATAAAAAGAAAGCAAAGCATTGCTGGTGAGAATGCAAAATGGAAAACAGTCTGGCAGTACCTCCAAAAGAAAGCACAGAGTTACCAGTATGACCCAGAAGTTCTACTCCTAGGTATATACCCAAGAGAAATGAAAATATGTGTCCACACAAAAAGTTGTAAAAAGAAATGTTCATAGGCTTTCCAATCGTAATAGCCAAAAAGTGGAAACGGCTGAGACATACATCTACTGAGGAATAAGCAAAATTATATAGAATAGACTATTATTTGGCTAGAAAAAGCAAGGGAGTACTGATACATGCTGCGATATAAGTGAACCTTGAAGATGTTATGGTAAGTGAAAAGTTAGCCACACAAGTCCACATGTTGTGTGACTCTATTTGTACAAAATTTCTGCAATAGGCAAGTCTGTAGAGACAGAAATTTGACCAGGGTTTCCTAAAGGAGGGGAAAGAGGGAGGGGGCAATGATGGTTTATGGGCATGCAGTCTCTCTTTGGGATGCTCACAATGTCCTGGAATTAGATAGTGGTAATGACTGCATGATCGTGTGTGTATACTAAAATAACCCAGTTTTACACTTTAAGATGGTGAATGTTAGGTATATGAATTATATCCCAATAAATTCTGAAAGAAAAAGAAAGCAAAATAAGCAGAAGGAAGTTTTTCTCTGGGTGAAGAGGGAGTTGGCTAACCATGATGTGGTCATCACATACCAAGGTGTTCACATGTGATAAATGGATGATGTAATTCTAATTTAAACTATAGGACATGGAAATGGCACCAAAATTACTAAGCATTTAAATGTTCTAGGAAATTAAAGAGTAAATATTTTAACTTCAGTGTCTAAATAGCTAATCTACTTCCATTTCCTTTTTTTTTCAATTTCAGCTTAAACATCTTGTATCTAGGTGGTATCGGGCTCCAGAAGACTTGGCCAAACCTTCCTTTCCTGACCCCTCCACTTCCACTGTGCTGTTGGTGATCACACTGGATTGCACGCTGCTGCTGAATCAGGCAGCCAGTTGTTGTTTACCCTGTGATGTAAGTAAGGACTTGGTCTCCCAGGCTTACTGTCATATCACTACAATGAAATCTCTCCATGTTTTTGAATGGCTGAAGCAAAATTATCAGCGATAGCTGAAAAGAACATTGGATATGAGCAAAACATATATCAGCCACAGCAACTTCTTTCAAGATATGTCTCCAAAGGCAAAGGAAACAAAAGCCAAAATAAACTTTTGGGACTTCATCAAAATCAAAAGCTTTTGCACAGCAAAGGAAACAGTCAAGAAAACAAAGAGGATATGAGCAAAACAAAAGAGATCAATGGCAACAGCAGACACTCATTCTCACTGTATCTCTACTGTGCTTCCATTTTCCATATTTCAAACTAATTTTTTTGTCTTATGCTGTAGTATCCAATCTTAATCTTCACTGAATCTTAAGTATCTAATCTAATCTCACTTAATCTCTTCTCCTTAATCTCACAGGGGCAATAATTTAAAGATATCTGTCATTATTGCAAATCCAAGTAAAAGAACTTAACAATAATTAATTTGATACTTGTTTTCATTTAAATGATGTATGATTCATGTAATATGGAGTCTTGGTAAGAAATCCAGAAATCAAACAGATTTCGTGAAAAGCTACCAGATGTGAAGTGGGAGATCTCTTCTTTACACCTGGCTGTTAAAGACTAGTCAGGGGCAGGGGATGCCTCCTCAGTCTGGCCCTGGTTTCCCTTAAACCTTGCTTTGCACACAGGTCCTTTGTTTATTTTCAGGGCTGTGGAGAGTTTATCTTCCCTTGGGACCACTCCAGAGACGGGAACTTGCCATAATTAGCTCACATTGTGGAGCAAACTACCTATTTCCTACTACTAATGGCCTTAGATTTGTTCCCATCTCACGATTCTTTAACCTGCACTTTCTTTGCTTTCTAAGACTTGCACTTAGCATCACCAACCCTCTCCATTTATTTCAACTGACTCCTATTGTATATTAATAGACCCCTCTTGCCAAGGTCTCTGATGTGCTCGAGTAACTGTTGTGTATCTTTATCTCTGCATGCAGCTCCTCTTTGCAGGAACTGTGTGCAGTTATGCTCACTGGGCAATTTATTCTTTTCCCTTAGGTATTAATACCATAAGTTTACCACTGTGAATTTCTACACAATCACATGTTTTATTATTAGCTGTTTTTGTGTATTCTTCCCACCTTATTTGAGAAAGAGTCTTTACAATTTCCTTCCTGGATACATCATCAGCCCCTGAAACATCCGAATAAAATCAGTTGATCAGATTTCTTTTCTTAGGTCCTATTGTTTTGCAACTGATGGCTGCCGAGTGCCACTACTGTGATCTGTTCCTTATAAATGTCTGCTGTTAATTTCTTGGATTATACTCTCCCATGAAGTGACATATAACTTCATCATTGATTCCGACATTTTATTCAACTCAAAATAAAGTGATTTAACAGAAACTAAGAACAACTGCTGCTGTCAGAAGTCACAAGTACCATTTTTGTTGTGATACCACAGGAAGAGATAAGCCTACAATTGACACCCACATATTTCTGTGTTGGGTTTTTTTCTTTTTTCTTTTTTTTTTTTTCTTTAACATAGGACTGACCTCTTCTTTTCAGGAACAAAATCAGTGGGGGAGTGTTCAAAACATTTGCTGGCAGCATTTTTGTATTTTGTCAGGCAAGCAGTTAGCTAGTATTGCAAAAATAAAAAGTTGAATATACAATGTTATTGGTTAAGTGGAAACTGAGACAGAAAGAGGAGCACTTTCATCACTTTTGAGGTGATACATTAACACCTGCAGGGCTGAAGACAAATAATAATAGAGCAAACATTGTAAAAGGGAGGAGGAAGCTGGGGCTACCCTATATTACACACTTTTAAAGACAGCTTGCTTCTATGCATCCGGTAACTTTGGAAGGTGCAAGCATCTGGAAGATGTGTGTGTGTGTGTGTGTGTGTGTGTGTGTGTGTGTGTGTGTGTTTAATCAATTTTCATTCTAGGGAAGGGGAGGCCAACTACCTTAGGACGTGCCATGCAGTAGAATGACCTAATAATGTTGAGTAATACAGACCTAAATTTGAATTCTGGCTCTCCAATTAGTGATTGTGGGGCTTTGGCATTTTGTGTGCCATTTTAAATGCTGGTTTCCTCAGAACAAAATTTTAGATAATAATACCTAACCCTGAAGTCTGTTGCTAGGCTCAGTTGTACTAAGATGCGTTAAGTAGGGATTGCTTAGCCCATAAATAGCTGGAACTCAGGAAAAGTTTGGTTCTTTCTTTTTATTGCTTTTTCACCTCTTCTTCCACTCTTCTATCCCTCATCCCATCAAAACCCTTTATATTTTTGGATAAAACATTTGTAGCAATTTGGATACTTTCATTTTACTTCAAATTTGTTATTCTGGTTTGATCTGATGCTTACTAGCTGATTCTAGTTACATTCACCCCATTCTTAGTATCTGATGTCCTATGCTACACAGGGTTTAATATAATGCCACACATACTGCTTTCTCCTAAAGTCCAAGTAAAGATCTTTTTTTATCTAATTTTATTCATTATATAAGAGTAAAATTATCCTTTAAGCTGGGCCCAGCAAAGATTCACTCTCACATAGATTCTTAGTGATGATGGAAATGACTTCCCCTCTCCAAGATAGGCTGTCTCTAAACCAAACCAAGATTTTTTTTTTTTTCCTGGAAAGAGGGTTAATAAAGTCAGTCATTACTCATTTATTTCTCGTATCAGAATTCAGAGACACTATTTCATGCCTTTCTATTTAATTCTTATTTGTTGTGAAGCCCTCCTTAGGCAGCTCAGAGTGATTTGAAATTAACTTCATTCCCTCACCTGGTAAAATGACAAACATATTACCTAATTCTTAGGGTTATTGTGAGGATAAAATAAGATGATGAACTGGAACATTATTCAGTGAATAGAAAGTACTGAAGTTTAATACTGTTTATGATTATTAAAAATTATTATTATTAATTTTATTATAAGGCCCCATTTTATTTTTGCAAGAGAGGCCAGAAAAGGTATAGAACTTGGAAATACTCAGGCTGAGGTTTTCATATAGAAACTGGAGCCACAATAAACTATAGTGACACATTAAACTTCAGGGTCACCATAAACTGGTGGTTTTAATGCATATATATACTTACTGAGATAGAAATGACTGCATTTATATATATCTTTTTCCCCCCAAGGCACTTAATGCTCTCTACGGACTTTATCTCCCTAATTCTTTGAGCATTCTTAGTCAGACAGTATTCAGTATACTTAAAAATTCACTGGCACAGACTTTATAATTATTTAATATTAAAATATATAAAAAAGAATTTTGTAGTCACTTAATAGAAAAATGAAGGAAAGGAAAAGAGAAAATTAAGAAAGGAAATAAGAAAAAAAAAGAAAGAAAAAAGAAAAAAGTAGTCTAGGTACAGGAGTCATACTTGACATTTTCCTCTCAAATTAAGATTGAATTCTAAATCCTACATGTGACTTAGTCGTAAATCATATTTTTCTGAGTATCCATCCCTAGCTCACTACAATCAAGTAACTGTTCCAGAGGTGTGGGGAACAGTCTTGACACTCCAGGAAGCTATTAGGAAGGGGGCTACGGGGAGTCTTCTTTTGAACCAGGCAGTGGAAATAGCATGCTGGATCAGGCCCTCCTAGCTGAGCTGATAGCACATGACGATTTTGGAATGTCAAAGTGGAAAGTCTATAATTCAAATATATTTTTATAAGAGGTCTAGATATATTAACACTATATTATTAATTATATACTATTATTATTACTATATTGTTAATACTAATAATTTCAAATTCTAGAAAAGTAAGAATTGCCTTTTTTTGCTGGAAACACACAAAGACACCTTTTCTATTCCTCAAACATGGCCCACTCATCAGCCCATTCCTCATCAGGCTCTTGGGCTCTTTGTATCCACTGCTCTCTTGTCTGGTGA